GATGGAGAAATGCCAATCAGTGACAGAGCAGATTTGTTCTGAAGCGATTTAACAAAGTGGCTTTCAGATAAAACTCCAGCACAGATTCAGAAGTAAATCCACTATTACAATGTCTCCAGGAATGTGCAGATAGTCTTGCGTCTCACTGCTTTGTACCTCCTTTTAAACCCTCAGTGTTCACTCCCTTTATGTACAGCCTCACACACAGAGTTGTTATTGTTTGTGACACAACACCAACAATCTTCATTCTTACTGTAATCAAGTCGCCCCACCCCTTGTTGGTATAATGTACGACTGTTCCTCCGCTCATTATAGTCCTATATTTATAGTTTAGCACGTCCAGAATTAGCTCACTGCTTGTTTTTTTAACTAGGGGGGTTTGTTTATTGAGTTTGTTTAGAAAATGTCCTGACCCTGGGCGACGCGCTGCCTGCAAGACACGAGTCAGGGAACAAAAGTCTGCTGTGATCAGGCAGACCGTGCTGCTTGCTCCACAGTTTGTTTGTTTTTCTCGAGTTCACTTCATTGCGACTTGTGTTTTTTCTTCACTTCTGCATGCATGTATGAACTAGGGCTGTACCCGAATATCCGAATATTCGTTCGTTGGAGTACTATTCGGGTTTAATTTCATTATTCGGATATTCGTTTGTTGTTGTTGTTGCATGTTTTGAAATCTCCGATATCAACGTAAGAGCTTGAGCCTCTTCGGGGGGGGCTAACACTTAGCCATAAACGCTATCGTTTACTTTCTCCGTCTTTATATGTAGATATTACTTTTTCTCCGTTAATCTCCGTCACGTTGTTTCCATAGCAACAACAACTTCCTGTCAACTGCGCTAACTCTCCTTCAAAATAAAAGCATGTCCATAAATAGGAAGCCAAATCAAATTACACTTAAGACATATACAACTGCAACGAAAGTAACAAACACAATGCGATATCCTTTTCGATTTCAAAGAACACAAATTGGGTTTTATTAACAAATAACTATAAAACAACGATACTGTAGAAAAACAAAATGAATGCTGTGAATAAACAGAAATACGTGTTGAAGCGGTTCGCTGCTGATTACTACGGACCCCCCCCCCCCCCCCCCCCCCGTGCGGGCCGAATATTCGCTGCTGATTACTACCGATTATCCGGAGCCCGAAAAATGGTACTCGGGACAGCCCTGGTATGAAGTGTGTGTTTTGTAAAAAAGCTAACTCAAGGATTTAGGCCTTTGCAGACCATTTACATGCATTAAAAACCTACATCACTCACTACAAAACCTCCAAAAGCAATCATCGATTCATCTAAAAATGTCAGAAAGTTGGTTAAAAATGTCAAACTGGAACATGAAGTCGTTTTTGTCTGTGGAACAGTGCAAAACTAAATAGGTTAATTGTATAAGAAAGGAGTCGATATATTTCATCTTCTGTTGTTCCTCCAATCAATTCTTTAGTTCATCTGCATGACTTCCACTACTGTCTACTCAACGTTGCACGCTAACTCATTCTGTACATTGAATCCCCCTCAGGTGACCTGCTGATTCAAAAGGCTTGAACTAGGATTCAAAGTTGAATGTTTGATGGTTAGTCTGTACATGCTGCAGAATATAACATCAAATATTTATTAGGCGCAATCAAGCCGTGATCAATGTGGCAAATCAGGTATTTTATTACCCTATCAGAATGCAATTAAGCATAGTATGTGTTATTTAGTATGATAGGAAACTCAACTCATAAATCTTCATGTTTAATCCCCTTGATAACTTTTTAAGGAGAGTGATATCCTGCACACTGGAGAGCGTGATTAACAGAAACAGGATGTTATCAATACTCTAAAAGCAGAGAGTCAGGGTAAGCATTTTAAAGACACTGCCTAGCGTGATTATAAAACCAGTCTTTCACATTGAAAATGACGCTCCCTCCAGGTGTGTGTGCAGAACAGAGCGGATGTGTCGTCCTGAAACTTACACTGTTTGCTGAGACTTCTGTACACACAACGTACAAAGAGTTATGAACACTGAGACTTTAAAGGGGACCTATCTTGCAAAATGCACTTTGTGATGTCTTTTATATGTGTCCCCGGTGCGTCGCGGAACTCACGCAGCGTCAGGAAATAAAACCCCTTCTCTTTTCCTCCGTACCCAAATCTTTTTAAAAAACGTGTGTACAACAAGCGGATACAGATTTCCATCCGAACTGATGTAGGCGGACCCACAGAAAGTTGCTATCAGAAACGATGCCTGACATGTTTTGGAAGTCTTTGTTTACATTAGCCTCGCTAACACTCAGAGCTAACCTGTACTGGAGAGCATGTGTTTAAAAAGCAGGAAATAAAAAAGGAACTCACCTCGTGATAAACCCGCAAGAGAAAAAGCATTTGAGCTCCATACTGTTTCAGAGATAATCCTTGATGTGGTTTAAAACAGAATTTAACTTTATCTCCGGTAGAATTCTGATCAGGCATTAGCTCCGCCTCCTTTTCTTTCTTTTTTTTCAAGCTAAGGACCCACAATCCTTGTTTCTCTAACAGGGCTTCAAAAGAGGGGTTTGAGCAGCATGAGGCACGGCTACAACGGGGGATCTGTTTGGTATTTTGAAAGAAACACTTCACAGACATGTTTTGTGATGGCCCTACAATATATGTTTCAAATATAGCATGATAGGTCCCCTTTAATAAAGGGCAACAAGCTGAGAGCGTTTCACCAAATCACACACGCATGATTCCTAGGACTAAACTCCAGACATAACAGCAAATATATTAGGGGTGGGGGAAATAATCGATACAGCATAGTCTCGCGATACTTTGCGGGGCGATATTCAGGGCTCTCGACTAACTTTTTTCACCATCCTCCCGGAACCGTCCCGAAATTAAAATATTAGTTTTTCTACATTATCATTAGTTAAAATCATTCAAAGTGACCTTTAACATAAATAAAACATCATACAAATCATTAGATGATAATTCATCAACCTTTTTATTTGAGTAAATCATTCAATCACATAAACAAAGGCCAAATATATTAAAAAACACAGGAACGAGAAAGTTACTCTAATATTGAATCCAATCAAGTCCCATCCAATTATCAAAAAAATCCAACACTGTGTCCTGAAGACAGAACCCAGAGTAACCGCTAACCAGGATGACAGTCTGAAACACAGTCAGGAGACCTTTACAAACGGCCCGCCCCCTCGCACACAGACAGGAGAGAGACATCTCGTCTGGATTGGAAAGATCGATAATACATCATAGACGCATTTTGTAGTCTTATTGCATATTAGAAACGGAGTTGGCGAAACTAAAACTGCAATATACTGATGACGTATTTTTTTATTTATATATGTGTTTTAACTAGTGCTGTCAAAATTATCGCGTTAACGGCGGTAATTAATTTTTTTAATTAATTGCGTTAAAATATTTAACGCATTTAACGCATGTGCAGAATGGCCCGCCCCATACATCCCACCAGTGGCAGCGCCAGGGTATGGCTGGGGTAGGCTACACCCATACCAAGAAATGGCTTAGCCCCACCATGAACAATGATGTTAAAGGAAGCAAAATAAAGTCTGCCAACTCGCGGAGTATATTGCACAGACAGCAGTTAGTCAGATTGATTTCAGCCACTTGTCTGGAAATACCGAAGACCAGAAACGGTTTTGAAAACTTTTGTCACGTAGTGATCGTCTTCTCAATAGAACATCTTTGATAACGGCGTGGTGTTGTTGCAGGAAGTCCCGACGGAGAATACTTTTGCTGTAGTACAGGGGTGCACATAACTGGTACGCAGGTTATGTGCGTAATCTGAAATGCGTACCGTTACTTGTGTCACAAAGCACATTTGCGTACCGACGTACTTGTGAAGCTTTTCCAGAAGGCGGTTAGATCACCGGACGACAGAGTCGGTCTCCGTGTGCACAGACAGGGCTGCTGTTAACGTCGGTCTGTACAACGGAACTGTGCCAAAACTACGCCAACCGGCTGCGGAGGGAGACCCCCCCCATTCACTGGAGAACTGCGCTAAAACAGCTGATCACAACGTTCACACTCTGTGGTAAGAAGTACTCCACGAGCCCCCCCCCCCCCCCTCTGTCGACTTTCCTGAAGTACTCCCCCGTTGATAGAAATCAACACGTAATGAATTAAGACCCCACGGTTTGATGATTGATAGGTGTGTGGGTTGTCTTTCATTTTGACACGCAGAAAAATGTTATAATAAACATAGATACTGTATGTTAAATGGATATATCCGCCTTCTTTCATTTATCTTTCCATTCCCAACAATATACATAAATAAATGGAATATTTTGGACATAGTTCGAATGGTGATTAATCTGATTAAAAAATGTATCGTTTGACAGCCCTAATTTTAACGCATCACATCAACCTTCACATTATATCAACTTTAAATTAAAGAGGACGTATTCTGCTCATGTTCATATGTGTCAGTTGCATGCTGGGTAACGTACTAAAAACAGCACAACATGAGTAAAACTACTGCTATCAGCAATTCAATGGGTGAGTAAGTGTGTTTAACTTCAGTGAACTTTGACACACTGTTGACCAACAACACAGTCTTAACAACACCAGCATATAAACCTCAAAGAGGTGCAGAGTCCAACCACAGGAAGCTATCTGAAGCGCCTTTACCACAACATGGCTCCATTCATTTAGACGTATCAATCAATCAATCAACAACTGTATTCATCCCGCAAGGAGTAATTGGTTATGAGCAGCAGCTTATGTCATGAACACAGGCAGGAACATACAGGAAGAAAACACACAGATACACCCGGGAGCACAGATGTGGATAATTCCAATTTACACGATAAATAGTTCAAAGAATCACAATAATAAATAAATAAATAAATAATCAAGTTAAAAGCCTTTTCAAGAATTTAAAGGTTTGAGTGCAGAAGGGATGAATGATTTAGAAAAGCGATTAGTCCTTTGAGCAGGTAGAGCATATCTTCGCCCTGATGGCAACAGACGAGATTCATGTGAAAGTACACGACCTGGAGAGTCCACGACCTGGAGAGTACACGACCTGGAGAGTTCAGAATGCGTTCTGCTTTCCGCAGAATCTGCTGGGGACAGAAGGAATTTAAGTCTCTCTGTTTCACGCCGATGATCTTGGAGCAGGTTTTAACAATGCTGTTCAGGCTGTTCCTGTCTTTCAGTGTGAGGCTCTGGAACCAGCAGATCAAAGAAAAACAAATACGGCTCTCAATGAATGCTTGGTAAAAACGACAAAGAATGAAAGGCCTGACAGAGAAAGAGTTCAGTTTGCGAAGAAGGTGCATTCTCTGTTGACCCCGCTTCACAATACACTCAGTATTCACATCAAATTTGAGGTGGTCATCGAAAATGGTGCCCAAGTATTTGTATGATTTCTACCTTGTCATTGTGTATGATGCACTCCTTAGGAACATCCTTGTGACGTCTAAAATCAATGATCAATTCCTGGGTTTTAGAGACATTTAAATCCAGAAAACTGTCATCGCACCAGGAAATAAAATCGGCAAGAGCACCCTCCTGATTGTGAGCCGCTAAGGAGGGACAAGAGGGCGGTATCGTCAGAGAATTTAACCAGGTAGCTGTTGTCTTGCATGCTCCTGCATTTATCAGTGTACATTATAAAAAGTAGGGGCGAAAGAACGCATCCTTGAGGCGAGCCCGTGGAAGTGATGACAGAGTCAGAGAGGCGTCCGTTGACAGACACCTTCTGCTCTCTATTAGTTAGGAAGTTTAAAACCCATAAAACAAGTTGATCGGGCAGCTTACAATGACACAATAGGCTCTCCACCAGGAGATGCGGCTGCATTGTGTTAAATGCTGAAGAAAAGTCAGCAAACAAAAGCCTGGCATGGGCTTGTGGCTTTTCAAGGTATTTGTGGAGGGTGCAGTATAAGAAGCTTTAACTCCTCTCCGCCTCTCCCTGCCTGATACGCACATAGTTGAGGATCAAGTTCACCTCCTATTACTGACATGACAAGGCCTTTAACACTTTTTCAAACATGTTCCTTACCAATGACATTAAAGCCACCGGTCTGAAGTCGTTTAGGACTTTAGGATGAGGCTTCTTAGGGATGGGAATTACAGTGGAGGATTTCCACATATCAGGAATTTGGCTATTCTCAAGTGACAATTGGAAGATATGCTGGAAAACACCACAGAGTTCGCTAGCACAATACTGGAGTGTCCGCCCACAGATATGGTCAGGACCTGGGGCCTTCCTAATATTGACTCGTTTTAAGAGATTCCTAACATCATCCTGTTCAATGACTATGTCTGAGATAGGTGAGAGACTCTCTAAGGGTTGAGGTGTTTATGGAGAAATCATTTTTCTCGAATCGAGAATAACATTTTTTTAAAGCATTGGGGAGGTCTGCCTCATTTGTTCCCTCAATGTTAATAGTATTCCTAGCCCAGTATGTACAAAACAGGCTTTTTCAAACTAAAAGCCTCGTAGAGTAACTGTTTGTTACAGGAAGCTCAAGTTGAGGCTTGTCTTTCAATATAAAAGCCACAAAGAGGAACTTTATATTACAGGAAATATAGGTTTAGGCTTGCTTTTCAAAATAAAAGCCACATACATTAACAGTGTAGTTACAGGAAGTTAAATTGAGGCTTGTTTTTCAATATAAAAGCCCCATAGAGTAACTGTTTGGTTAAGGAAACTTGGGTTTAGGCTCGCTTTTCAAAATAAAAGCCACATACATTAACGCGAGAGTTCAATTTTTTCAACTTGAGCGTCAAATTCACGTGACGCGTTCTGGCGAAAGTCAATCAGCGTTGGGATTCCCTCTGACGTCCCTCTGACGTCCTGCTGTTGATCAGTTGTAAAGATGGAAGAGATGATCGTTGTTGCTGTGAGTGGGTTCCCGGAGATTTACGATACAATGTCGTATATCTACCGGGACCGCAACAAAAAGGAGCTGGCTTGGAGGAGAATAAGAACCCAGACACGACGGCGTTTGTTGCTACGTTTGTAGGACTTCCACAGAAGGTACAAAGCAGCAATAGTTGTTATATCTATATATAGTCAAGGACAGAAACAACCAAAACGATCTTGCATGGAAGTGTAAACAACCTCAACTGTCAGTCAACGGCGCGGCACGTCAACGGTATGTCTGTTTTGAATGACGCGATAAAACAAACGGCAAGCCGCGGTGAAACTTGTGCGATTGGAGCGTCCGGTGTGAACACAGCATACGTTTTAGGCTTGTTTTTCAATATAAAAGCCCCATAGAGCAACGGTATAATTACAGGAAACATAGTTTTAGGCTTGCTTTTCAAAATAAAAGCCCCGTAGACTAACTGTTTGTTACAGGAAGCTGAAGTTGAGGCTTGTTTTTCAATATAAAAGCTGCATAAAGTAACTTTATTATAATTACAGGAAACATAGTTTTAGGCTTGCTTTTCAAAATAAAAGCCCCGTAGAGTAACTGTTTGTTACAGGAAGCTATAGTTGAGGCTTGCTTTTCAAAACAAAAGCCACGTACATTAACGTTATAGTTACAGGAAGTTTAATTGAGGCTTGTGTTGCAATATAAAAGCCCCATAGAGTAACTGTTTGGCTAAGGAAACTCGGGTTTAGGTTTGCTTTTCAAAATAAAAGCCACATGCAGTAGTAGTAAAGTTACAGGAAGCTTAGGTTTAAACTCCTTTTTCAAAGTAAAAGCCCAATACAATAAGTGTATCGTTTGAAATTGTAAACAGACTCCAAAGAAGAAGTGAGTCAATTTTAAGGTCAATTTTAAATTATTTCTCAAACCCTTATTATGCAATAAAAACAAAACACTTTCCCAATGCAAGATTTGTCAGAGAAGTGTTGCTAAACTGTCGAATACATAGTCATGCAATTGTAAAGTATCTGCAGTGCATTACATTGTTGGTTCATCCCCTCCCTGCCTGGACGCATTAAAGAGTTTCAACATTTACCATCAAGCCAAACCCTAACTATGAGATTAGAGGTGAGAAACCGTCTGGTAACAAGAGCTCAGTTTCTGTTCTGTCTTTGGTGTGAATGTGTCATTACATACTGATATACAGCTGAACATCAGCAGGAGAGGACTCTTTAAAGTAGAGACACTACATACTGATATACAGCTGAACATCAGCAGGAGAGGACTCTTTAAAGTAGAGACACTACATACTGATATACACCTGAACATCAGCAGGAGAGGACTCTTTAAAGTAGAGACACTACATACTGATATACACCTGAACATCAGCAGGAGAGGACTCTTTAAAGTAGAGACACTACATACTGATATACACCTGAACATCAGCAGGAGAGGACTCTTTAAAGTAGAGACACTACATACTGATATACACCTGAACATCAGCAGGAGAGGACTCTTTAAAGTAGAGACACTACATACTGATATACAGCTGAATATCAGCAGGAGAGAACTCTTAAAGTAGAGACACTACATACTGATATACAGCTGAACATCAGCAGGAGAGGACTCTTTAAAGTAGAGACACTACATACTGATATACAGCTGAACATCAGCAGGAGAGGACTCTTTAAAGTAGAGACACTACATACTGATATACAGCTGAACATCAGCAGGAGAGGACTCTTTAAAGTAGAGACACTACATACTGATATACACCTGAACATCAGCAGGAGAGGACTCTTTAAAGTAGAGACACTACATACTGATATACACCTGAACATCAGCAGGAGAGGACTCTTTAAAGTAGAGACACTACATACTGATATACAGCTGAACATCAGCAGGAGAGGACTCTTTAAAGTAGAGACACTACATACTGATATACAGCTGAACATCAGCAGGAGAGGACTCTTTAAAGTAGAGACACTACATACTGATATACAGCTGAACATCAGCAGGAGAGGACTCTTTAAAGTAGAGACACTACATACTGATATACAGCTGAACATCAGCAGGAGAGGACTCTTTAAAGTAGAGACACTACATACTGATATACACCTGAACATCAGCAGGAGAGGACTCTTTAAAGTAGAGACACTACATACTGATATACACCTGAACATCAGCAGGAGAGGACTCTTTAAAGTAGAGACACTACATACTGATATACACCTGAACATCAGCAGGAGAGGACTCTTTAAAGTAGAGACACTACATACTGATATACACCTGAACATCAGCAGGAGAGGACTCTTTAAAGTAGAGACACTACATACTGATATACAGCTGAATATCAGCAGGAGAGAACTCTTTAAAGTAGAGACACTACATACTGATATACAGCTGAACATCAGCAGGAGAGGACTCTTTAAAGTAGAGACACTACATACTGATATACAGCTGAACATCAGCAGGAGAGGACTCTTTAAAGTAGAGACACTACATACTGATATACAGCTGAACATCAGCAGGAGAGGACTCTTTAAAGTAGAGACACTACATACTGATATACACCTGAACATCAGCAGGAGAGGACTCTTTAAAGTAGAGACACTACATACTGATATACACCTGAACATCAGCAGGAGAGGACTCTTTAAAGTAGAGACACTACATACTGATATACAGCTGAACATCAGCAGGAGAGGACTCTTTAAAGTAGAGACACTACATACTGATATACAGCTGAACATCAGCAGGAGAGGACTCTTTAAAGTAGAGACACTACATACTGATATACAGCTGAACATCAGCAGGAGAGGACTCTTTAAAGTAGAGACACTACATACTGATATACAGCTGAACATCAGCAGGAGAGGACTCTTTAAAGTAGAGACACTACATACTGATATACAGCTGAACATCAGCAGGAGAGGACTCTTTAAGTAGAGACACTACATACTGATATACAGCTGAACATCAGCAGGAGAGGACTCTTTAAAGTAGAGACACTACATACTGATATACACCTGAACATCAGCAGGAGAGGACTCTTTAAAGTAGAGACACTACATACTGATACACACCTGAACATCAGCAGGAGAGGACTCTTTAAAGTAGAGACACTACATACTGATATACACCTGAACATCAGCAGGAGAGGACTCTTTAAAGTAGAGACACTACATACTGATATACACCTGAACATCAGCAGGAGAGGACTCTTTAAAAGAGAC